ATATATATATATATGTATATGTATACATGCGTTCATGCGAGCGCATGATTTGCGAACATGAAATCAACGCCCATGTTTGAGATATCGCTTTGGTCTAAGTAGGCTTTGAACTGAGCACATCCAGCGACCGCAAGGGGTGCAGAAAAATCTTGAGAGCTTGTCAGCTGCGTTTAGGATCAGGGAGTTTCACCAGATTTGCTTGGAGAAGCCATCCACTAGAGATGCGGGCAACAATGGCCAATCTCAGACACAGCTTCGTGATTGAACCGTTGGTGCATTGATTTAATCATATATTATATATTACAATATACAAAGATAGATCAATTTTTGCTCTTGCTCACCCCGATTTCGGTGCCTCGCAGGATCTTGAAAAAGGATGACAGCGGGAAAGAGAGCCAATTTCCTGTACGGCAAAAAAGAAGAGCGTCCTTGCTCCTAGTAGTACGGCCAGGAGCCCCTAGTAGCGTCCTTGCTCCTAGTAGCGATGCCAGGAGCCCCTAGTAGCTTCTTAAGAAATCATTAAATCATTACCTAATAGCCTAATGGCGATCTTTTAAAGGATATATTAAAGACACATAGCGATGGCATCCAACCTAATAGCGATGGCCTCCAACCTACGAGCAGACTGGGTGACTTCACTTGATTTCGTGAAAAAATTGTGCAAAGACCCTCAGTGGATCTCGATTCGAAGAGTAGGAGACTGCGCACAATTCGTGGGGGCCTTCAGGAGCCCAGTGGTGTCTTTGATCGAAACCGGACAGACCTTGATGATTCAATACCCACGCCCGCAGGGCTTAAACGGCTTAAGGTTTACGGCTTAAGGAACACACTGCAAATGTCAACCTACTTGAGAGTGAGCTAGTCGTTAGTTTGTCTTGAGATACGATGGGTCCCTAGTGAAACAGCGAAATAGTTATAGACAGTGAGACACGAGACTCGTCCATAGTGAAGCAAACAGACTCCATGCCTCAAGGAATCAGAGGTTTAAAGCTACTCAAAATGTTGACTTCGCTGCATGATGTTGCTTCACAGCATGTCGAACATTGAGTACATAATGAAAGGGTCTATCACGTCTATTCGGGCCTTCTTTTACCCAGGGGCCCGGCCATAAGAAG